TTTTCTCTACAACAATCATTGACCAAAATTGCTTGGCATGATGAATCGCATTAAAGTAGCCCCAATAATTGAAAGGAGAACTAGTGCGCCAACTCCTCTTTAGGTTCCATTGATTCAAATGGGCCTACTCTAAGTGACTTACTATGCTAAAATAAGTCATAGAGTAAGCCCACTTGAATCAATGGAACTTATGGAGGAGCTGACTCACCAAAGCCCCAATGATTCAGTGGGCCTACTCTGGAGCAATTTACTAGGTTAAGCAAACAAGATTTTGGCCATTGGGATTGTTCAACACACAAGTCTACAGTTCTGAATGTAAACCTAAAAGCTGCAATCTGCTCTCAGATTTTTCCAAGTTTTGAAAGCCAAATGCCAAAGCAAAGCAGCTCTTTCCAGTTCCATTGGGACTGGAGACTTCCATAACAGCCATGAGTCGCTAAGCCACAACATTGATTATTTCTGCAGAACCACTTAGTCAGCAGAGCGCTTTCTTGTCCAGAGTCCACTGAAATGGGTAGTACACTTCTCTCTTGAATTGTATGGGTCCCAGCAGCACGGTTTTGATTATACTTGGATTTTTAATTGATTGATATATCAATAACCAAATAAATATCCAGTAAATAAATATTCGATAAATACGATGCTGCTATTTGTCTCCAGGAAGTGGCCTGAGAAAGGTGGTTCTTAGATTTGATGAGACCCATGTTGGTGGGTGGTGGTGGCCACTGGCCCAATGGCAACTGCCAGCTGGCCCCCTCTCCTGGCATGGTGACCTGGTTGGTCCTCGGGCATGGTAGGAGGCTGGTGTGATTTAAGGGAGGTCACAGTGGCACACTGCCCTGGTGGGCAGGGGAAGAGGAGAGATTGTGTCTCCATTTCCCTTTACTAGCCTTTAAAAACTGTGTGTGTGGTTGTTGTGGATTTTTCAGGCTCTTTGGCTGTGTTCTGAAGGTTGTTCTTCCTGACGTTTCACCAGTCTCTGTGGCCAGCATCTTCAGAGGACTGGATGTAGGAACTCTGTCCATGCTCTGTTGGTGTTTGTTGGATAGTTGAGTATTTATAGCTGTGGGGAACAGCTTTTGTCTTTTTTCAGGAGATAGGGTGATCAGCATGTTTTTGTTGTGATAAGGAAGGGGGGAGGGAGAGATTATCTGTCATTGTGATTGATGGGTGTCGTTAGCTGGTCTTTTTTGTGCAATGATCCCTGGTCCTTGTGGCTGGGTAGAGTTCATTGACCTTTTGCAGGTCTTATTTTTCAGAGAATGGGGCGCCAGGCCGTGTTTAGTTTTAGGCCTTCTTCTTTCCTGGTTGAAGTTCCAACAAACGCCAACAGAGCATGGACAGAGTTCCTACTCCTGTCCTCTGAAGATGCCGGCCACAGAGACTGGTGAAACGTTAGGAAGAACAACCTTCAGAACACGGCCAAGGAGCCCGAAAAACCCACAACAACCATCAGATCCTGGCCGTGAAAGGCTTCGTGAATACAATCAACTGTGTGTTTGGCCATCAGTTATGTTTGGACGGGGTTACTAGAGTTAGACACAGATTTTGGACTACCTGGGTGTGCAGCACCTCTTACCCCAGCGTTGTTGAAGGGGGAAGTGTAGTGGAAAGGGTAGAGTCTTCCCACTGGTTTTAATATCTGGTTTTTGAAAAGCAGTAGAGTTTTACTTAAAGTCATGCCTCGTGTCGCTGCTTTGACCCCTGGAAAGAAAAGACTGAAAACCATCCTTCTCTCTTGAGGTTGGCTCCACTGAGGGCATTTTCAGCTCTCGTAACTCCTCCCCTACGAAAATTCAGACATAGTTCA